GGTTGTGTTGCCCTCTTGCTGTCAGTTGGTATTTCAACTTCTAGAAAAGAGAAAGCTCCCCCAAAACTAGACGAAAGCATGGACTATTTCATTGTTTATATTAAGGGCATTGAGTTCTAATTTTTCTCCGAACCCGAAATTCTCACGGCCTACCTCTCGGTTCTAAGTTTTACAGATGTAAACGAGACCAAAACCAGCGGAAAACCGGTGGATGGAAATCAGGTGTAAAAGAAAAAAAAAGTAAATACACACAAGTGTTAAGATGTCATAGTTGGTTATTGCGGTTCACTATAAAGGAAGAGGTCATGAGTTCAGGTTCAAACATTGTAATAGGGAAGCAAGTAATATGGCTCACGAACTTGCTAGGCTAGTGAAATTTTCCGTCACTAGGGATTGATCTGAGGAGCCAATGAGTGATATTGTATCTTTTCTTATTGACGATGTAACAATTATTTCTAGCTAAAAAGTTGATGTTTATTTTAAAAAGAGGTCATGAGTTCAATTCTCATCCGCATTCTTTTTGGATATTTTTTTTAAAGAAAAGGAAAAGCACAGTGTATGGGCTGTATGTACACTATGTACCGACGCGGGCGATGTACCATTTATTCTGAATTCAATGTGTTTAGGGGTTTACCCAAGCATAAATGAATTCTGAATAGGATTATCCGTTTCAAGTGGGCCCAAGCCACCGACACAACAGCTACCGTAGAATTCTTTGAACGCCTGGTACGTAGGAACGGAACGGATACGCCGCGGCCCCTGTGTGCTAAAGCCTCTTCTGATGAATTGGTGTTTAGGGGAGATGCAAAGTTCATTAAAAAAATTAGTATCTAATCTTCCCAACGTCTAGGTACTTAGCTTTTGTAGCTAAACTTCTTTCATTTAGTTGTTTAACACTTGAACTCTTTCATGTATTTGTTGGTAGCTATTTTGCACTTGTTCATGTGTTTATCATCGTTTCATTCTCGGAGCATCCTAATGCTCTCTCTCTTTAATTGTTGTGCCAGATCATTTTTTGCCTACGTGATGCCTTTTGCATGACTACACCTTCAAGCATTGGGAAGGGCCTAACGATCCGCCCGCAGTAGCAAAGTATGTGGCCCAAATGTTAGTGACCTATGTGGTTGTACACATCCCCGCACCCACCTCTTCCATCCCACACTATAAACAGCAGCGCCTCCCCTGAGTTCCCAACTCCATGGCCACAGATTCGAGCGGCCCCCCATCCCCCACCCCAAGCAACAGGGGAACCAACGACCAGTCCCCAGAGCGCACTCCCATGGCGTCGGCACAAACGGCCCTGCAGGTACACCATTTCGCCCCGTCCCGCCCAACGGTCCAAGGGATACTTCAGGTGTTCATGTGACGTTTTGTTGGATCTGCAGACCATCGTGCTGAGGGTGACCATTCACTGCCATGGCTGCAAGAAGAAGATCCGGAAGGTGCTCAAGAACATCCAAGGTACCGTCACTCTCTTCTTTGATCGTCGCGTGCGTTTCCGTTTGCTTTTGTGCTTAGTTAACCAAAGTGTCCGTCGTTTTGGTTGGGATATTCAGGCGTCCAGGACATCAAGGTAGATGCCCAGCAGCACAAGGTGACGGTGACGGGCACAGTGGACGCCGAGACGCTCGTCAAGAGGCTGTACAAGTCAGGCAAGCATGCCCTGCCATGGCAACACACACCCGCCGCGCCTGCCAACAGCCCCGAGGCTGCGCCCGCAACTGAGGCCCCGGTGCCGGCCCCTCCGGCCGAGGACGGCAGCAAGGATCCTGCTGTGGCGGACAAGAAGCCAGCGGAACCTGTGAAGGAGCTGCATGCCGATAGCTCGGACAAGAAGCCAGAGCAGGAGGAGACGTCCCTGGAGAAGAAGCCTGAGACGGAGAAGGAAGCAGAGTCTGAGAAGGAGGCTGAGAAAGAGGAGGTGAAACCAAGCGACGAGGCGAAGAAAGACGGCGGCGAGGGCGCGGCGACCGAGCCCGAGAGTGGATCCGCTGCCGCCACAAAGGAGGCCGGCGATGACGAGGCCGTGGACAAGAAGAAACAGAGCAAGGACGCACCTGCTTCGGACAGGTCCCTATCTCCGGCGCCGGCGCCGGCGCACGCGCTGCAGGAGTTCAACCCGTACAGCGCGCCACAGCCGGTGATGAGCTACCACACGGCGCAGCCGAGAGCGAGCGTGTCCTACTACGCCCCGCAGCCAGAGCAGAGCTACTCCATGTCCATGCAGCAGCAACCGCCGCAGCGGCAGCAGGCGGCGCAGCCAATGCAGCAGTGGTCGCCGTCGTACCTTTACATGCCGTACCCGCACGCGTCGCCGGAGTCCTATTACCAGGACTACAACAGCCCGCCCGGGACGCACGCGCCGCCGCCTCCGCCTCCGCCGCCGCTGCAGGACTCATACCGCCTGTTTGACGACGAGAACCCCAACTCGTGCAGCGTCATGTGATTTCACCGACACGTTCGGCACGGGTGCCGCTCCAGCTAGCCGTCGACGGCGGCAAAGTAGCTAAGGATCGGAGGCGGCTTCGTAAAGAGACCTCTCTGGTTGTAGGTAGAGTAGCTTGTTACTCTCTTCGATTGGGAGGTCAAAGCTCTCCTTGATCAATCCATTTTTCTTCTTCTTATTTATTTTTTTCTTTATTATTATTATTACTGCTCTAATAGAGCATGAAATTGTAATGAAACATACAAAGGATTATATACAGCTAAAAAGTATTATTAGAGATATTAGAAATGTCGTCCTTTATACTCCAATACAATCATGTCTCCATACACGTATCGATGACAATTATGATGTTGCAAACAAAGAGTCTAAGAGCATCTCCAACGGCCGCGCTATAGCGCCGCGCGCAAAAAACCTGTTTGCGCGCGCGGTGCGGCATGTTTACAGCGCCCGCCTGCGCTGGCTCCAGCGGCCGCGCCAGAATACAGCGCGCGCGCGCCGCTCCAGCAGCCGCGCTATACAGCGCGCGCGCCAGGCATTTTGCATATATGAATATATGGATATTTTGAACAAAAATGAACATGTAAAAATTTGACACAAACAAGTTGATGAATAAAAGTTCATGCCCACAAGTTCATCCAACCAAGTTCAAATGCAAACTAAAAGTTCAAGACAAGACACATCAATCTTCATCTTCCTCTTCTTCGTCTTCGTCCTCATCTTCCGAAGACGACTCTTCCGCCTCCGAAGATGAACCTTCCTCACGCACCGCATCGCGCACCGCATCATGTGAAGCTCCGACGGTGTTGGGAAGATCTTCAACGGCATCTTCATGGGAATGTGTGTGGGTGGCCGGAGGTGCACCCATACCTCCCATGAGAGAAGCAAAACTCATGCCTCCCATGGCGGCCATAGCGTCGGAGGGTGCTCCAAAGCCACCCATGCCTCCCATGGCGGTCGGAGGTGCACCCATGCCTCCCATGGCGGCCATAGCGTCGGAGGGTGCTCCAAAGCCACCCATGCCTCCCATGGCGGTCGGGGGTGCACCCATGCCTCCCATGGCGGCCATAGCGTCGGAAGGTGCTCCAAAGCCACCCATGCCTCCCATGGCGCCCGGAGGTGCACCCATGCCTCCCATGCCTCCAAAGCCACCCATGCCTCCCATGGCCCCCGGAGGTGCACTCATGCCTCCCATGCCTCCAAAGCCACCAATGCCTCCCATGGCGGCCGGAGGTGCACTCATGCCTCCCATGCCTCCAAAGCCACCCATGCCTCCCATGGCGCCGAGGCCATCACCACCCATTGCACGAACCAAGGCTCTTTTTCGGATCAAGACTTCTTGTTGGGCAAGGTTGACATACTCCTTTTGCGCCGCATTGAGGTTAGATGTGTCCAAGAAGAACAAGTGCTTCTCCCATTCCAACAACTTAGCTCGCTCCTCATTGCTCACTTTCCTCTCCTCCAAAGCCACCTTTCTCTCCTCGGCCGCCACCCTTCTCTCCTCGGCCGCCAACCTCCTCTCCTCGGCCACGGCATCTTGGGTCCTTGCCATTTTCCTCACCTCATTCGCTTCGACCCTTGCCTTCACAATAGCTTCCATAGCATTTTTGAGCTCATCATCTCCTTTCTTCTTCTTCTTGCCGGTTTTGTCTTTCTTGCACCCATCCGGTCGTTTTGGCTTCGAGTATGAAACCGAGTTGGGTGTGGGGCTTCTCTTGCCGTCATCACTTGATGCATCATCCTCCTCCTCATCATCATCCATCTCAATTGCTCGCTTCCGTTTGTTGCTCAAATGCAAATCCTCCAAACCATCACGCTTCTTCCATTTCTCATCATCCTTTAACAGTTCATAGCAATGAGGCAAGGTAAAGATCCGGCCTTTCTTGATCTTTCCCTTCTTGGTTGTCCTTGTCTCATTTTTGAACAAGTTTTGTGCAATGTTGAACTACAAGAAAAACAAAACAAGTTAGCACTTCGGTCACCAAAAACAAGTATGATGAACATATATGAGATGCCACTTACTCGATCATCCTCATTTGTGCCACTTGGGTTAATCTTGTCCACCGACTTTTGCGCGACCGCCCACTTTTGACAATCTGAGTTGATTGTCGACCATCGGGACCGAAGAGATCTCTCGGAGCGGTAAATTCCACTCTTGTTGTGAGCATTATAGTATTCTGTCATTCGCCCCCAATACGCGTCTCTACTTTGATCACCTCCAATGGATAGATCCTTGGAGACATGCAAATAAGTGTTGCATAGTAACTTGTCATCGGTGGTGGAGTAATTGCCCGCTCTTCCTCTCGGCGCCTCGACAATTCCCTCACCCTCCTCGTCCACCTCAAACTCATGGTCTTCGAAATGGATGTCATTGGTTTGAGACCAATGCGAATTGTTGGACCCAACACCCATAGTGGACATGTATGCATCATCGTTGAGACTACAATTTTTTTGAACAATGCAAATAAGCTATCTATATGTGAAAATGATGATGCATTGAAAAAATAAGAAGGAAAAAATACTTGGAAATTTTTTCACCTTGGGGGCATTTCGTCGAACACTTGGTGCGCGCCGGCGGCCGGCTCAACGAGTGAGCTCGCCGGCGCTTCGGTAGGCGCCGCGGCCGTCGAACGCCCTGCAAGCCTTTTCCCTCTCGCCATGCCGGAGCCGTCCGCCGCCTTGTTCTTCTTTGCGGATGTTTTGCCCTTCTTCGTCCGTGCCGCATTGGGTACTTTCTTCGACGGTGCGGCGGCAGCACGGGATGGCGCCGGCGCGACGCCACCCAGCGCCGGAGCCGTAGTCATCCGCGGCGTCAAGAAGAGGCTGCGCGCGAGGCCGACGCTCGGCGGAGCTCCGGCGGCGACGACGCCCGCGCTCGCCGCGCTAGGGTTTCCGGCGGCGGCGGCGGCTGCGGCGGCGGCGGCGGGGGGGTCGCGGATGTACAGTGGGGTGAGCGGGGCGCCGGTGTGCGCGTCCATGGCGGGGGGCAGGGCGCCGGCGCCGGCGCGCGCGGGGGGTAGGACGAGGAGAGGGAGAGAGCGCTCGAGTGTGCCGCGCGCTGTAGCTGGCGCTCCAAATACACCGCGCGGTTAAGCGGTTTTGACCGCGCGCCCAACCCGGTATCGCGTGCGCGCCGTTTTTGCGCGCCCGCTGGAGCGAGCCGCGGCGTAGCGCGCGCGCTAAAATGGCATTTTTTGCAGCGCGGCGCTCGTTTAGCGCGGCCGTTGGAGATGCTCTAGTTAAGCAGTTTTTTACTGTCAACTCTTAGGTGCTAAACCATGACACCATACGGGACCTTACCCAAAGCCGCGGTCATAGATTTACTCTTTAGATAAATCTACTTGTGCGAAGTAATCTGGGTTTGGATGATTAGAAGGATAGTGGTATCCTAAACCCATCAGGATTCAAATTATGATACTTTCATTATTTCTGAATTTATTTCAGTATTTTCGGCGATGCACGTTCAGGTGAGGAGACGTTATCTTCGACTACGAGGCGCATGTGGTGACTTCGTCAATCTCAATATGATATGCCGGCTCAGTCTCTCGAGATGCTTATAGGGGAAGGGTCTACGTGTATTCATAGGGATGAGCGTATACACGTATATATGAGCGTCTACGTCTATAGTGTGTTCTAAAAAAAAAATAAGATAAATCTACTTGTCCCGTGCCATATAATTTAATTAATAGGTAAGGCCCCTAAACTTCACGCCACTGATGATGATGTCAGCACGGTAAAACTAATAACCCAAATACACTAATTAAGGGCATTTCTAACTGATCCTCAATCCCCCGTAAGGGGGTAAAAATTTGATAATATACTCCTTTACAATGCACCTAGCAGATCCCAATCTGGCTTAGTCTATACTACTTATAAAAGAGCAAACATAATCTTCTTTAAATGCACCCCACAAAACGTACACGGATACATTACCACTGCATGATTAGTCCCACTAAACCCACCTAACGGCTAGCCTTAACCTAATCTGTTCTCTGTGTGCACTTAGCAATTTACATTGACTGACCGTACTCCACCGTGGAGGAAAATATGAAGTCCACGCCTGATCAATTAGGAAAATATTATCACGGACACATCCTACTTCTATACTACTTATAGAAGAGCAAACATAATCTTCTTTAAGTGCACCCCACAAAACGTACACGGATACATTACCACTGCATGATTAGTCCCACTAAACCCATCTAACGGCGAGCCTTAACCTAATCTGTTCTCTGTGTGCATTTAGCAATTTACATTGACTGACCGTACTCCACCGTGGAGGAAAATATGAAGTCCACGCCTGATCAATTAGGAAACTATTATCACGGACACATCCTATTAAGAAACTAATCACAGACGCATCCTATTATTAGGAAACTAATCACAAACGCATCCTACTATTAGGAAACTAATCACGGGTGCATCCTATTATTAGGAAAATAATCACGAGCGCATCCTATTAGAAAATTAATCACGAACACACCTAAGTATTAGGAAACTAATCATGGACGCATCCTATTAGATAACTAATCACGAACACATCTAATTATTAGGAAACTAATCGCGAGCACGTCCTATCATCTCCTATCAGGGAATCGCGATCGCGAGTCGCCTGTCGTAACCAGCCCACCACCCACGCGAGCCACAATGGGAGACATGCGAAGAGGAGCTGCGGCTTCCTCCGAACACGCACACGTGCCGTCGCCGCCTTCGTCTTCTGCCTGGAGGGCAGGTCACTCTTCTACTGACTGCAACGACTTCGCATCATACAGAGAGACCAACCATGTTTCTCCGAATATGTTGAATCATGATCCTTATGACTTCATCTCTACTACTTATAAGAAGTACATTTTTTCATTTGACTAATTTCCTGACTTTGGAGGTAAGGTATGTTTTATCCACTAGAGTTGCTAAAATTGGAAGCATATCTGCAGTTTTTTTCTTTCTAAACCGGCATTTGTTCGCCCTTTTTTGCCACTGTTATTCTTACAAGTGGTAGCCTA